ATCTCTTCGTTCATAGGTAGGGTTTCGAGACTTACATCTTATATTACGATAAATATTTGCTTTGGTTGACGCCAATTCCATTATAGCACACATCTCTTATTTATTGATGGACTACTTCTGGAAATAGGGTTCATTAGCACTTTAGCTCTAGCATGGTGGTATAAAGTTTTCATTTTCCCACAATATATAGGGTCAAATTTTGTCTGTTTAAGTTTGGTCGTGGTTGACAAAATTAGTTTTTATGGTATTGGTTTATGGTATTCACAACGAATAATAAACACCTTCATAGTCACCATCGTCTTAGTTAAGCTTTTTATTCGAATTCTCTAAATCCATATGCGATTTCAATTTGAGCTTCAGCTTATTGGCGCCACACTATGAATTGAAGATGTATATTTTGATTATCTTAAGCTTGTCGCTTGCGTTTCCAGTTCTTCCTGTCAAACATAAAACTACCCGCAAACAGACATACCTGATTTATCTATTTTTTAATACGATCACAGGCATTTACAGTATTCTATATCTATTTGGATTATGAGTATTCCAAATTGTTGAAAATATTTAGTCCTTTGCTTATTGCACGTTTACGCCATTTGAACCCTTTTAACTCACTTCCAACTGGCCATCCCTTGGTTCAAAAGGCGCCTATTAAATGACATCGGGGATTACCACGAATCCATCCAGTCCGGCAGGATAGGCATTGACTCAGGCCTGGGGACTGGGCTCAGCAGTCATGAGCCAAATAGCAATAGTTTCCGTCTCTTTATGCAATTGCACAACAGCGTCACCTCGAGTCAAGCAGCACGATCAGACGCCACTTCTACTCCAAAATCAATAGTGGACGTTAAGGCGTCGACTGCAGCCCTAAGCACAATTGCTAACCAAAGTGAAAATTCCGCTATTCTGTCAAACGAGGTTGTTCCCGATTGGCAGGATAAGGGTGTACTTAAACTCCTCAACAAATCTGCTCCAATTGACCTGGGCGGCAAGTATCAGGGTGAGGTGCTTTCACATCTTCTCGCCTCCGGTGCCATGCTACCAAAAGCGTTTGAGCCTAGCTTGGAAGAGAGGCCAACTCAATTATCTTCGAGACAACCAGTAGCTTCTCTTTCGGATACAACAAAGCTCCCCGCCAATCTGAACAGACCCTCCAATCACAGCGCAGTTTCAGCTAATCTGAATTACCAAGGGTAGGTAACATAAGTTTATTAACTTATTTTTCCTTCATAAGTAGGCTTTCGAGACTGCCAGTATTTTTATTATATGAAGTGTATTTATCCTATTTTATTTAAGCTAATAAAGGGACTGGTAGTAAAGTTTTTCCACATTGGTATCAATATACATTACGCTTTTATTTAATTTTACCTTCAAAGCGGACTGAAGTTTCGACCTAGATCAGGTTTTATCAGCACCATGACAGTGATGCATATAATCCCGACACGTTTACCAACACGCCACATTGCCACAAGTGCCCTTTGATTACGGGGCTAATACGAATTTATAGGAAGGTCAGGCATTTTCCCGTATCATATTCTTTAGTAGGATTGCTTCAGCAATCCACTATATTATTTATTTCGAGACCAAACTACATGTCCTCTTATGACCGTAAATGAAATAGGGTGAATATATC